GAAAGCTAAATAAGCATGATAGTGTTTCTGGTACTATACAATAATAATCATGCATCCGAATCGAAAAATAGTATTAGCCTTAAGGCCTCGTTCTTATTAATCAATATGACCACTTAGGCTCCGTACTCACAGGAACATCATAAATACATACATATGTGTGCACGCAAATATCACTCTGAACCTCCCGGAAATAATATTTTTAATTTTGATAAAGCAGGTAGAGATAAATCAGTTGAGTTTTCTTGATTTAGTGTAAGTGACTATTAAAGAATGAGACTTGGCTCTAATTGTTTGTCAAACGACATGAAAGATTTTTTGATTTAACCGAAATAAGTTGTCTTTAAGGAAAATCAAATAGAAGTAAATCACTGACCTAAGGAGATCGACTCTTCATGACACATTTTTACTCTAAATTAAGGTGAGATCAACAATATTATTGCAGTAAATAATATTCCACAGCTTTGTTTCGTCCTAACAAGCCAGTAAGCAGCCATTTCTCAACACCAGACGATAATTCATCAAAACACGAAGACAAGGGAGGCGGTCGCCTGCAAACCTACATATTTCTTATAGTCCAACTTGGCCCACCTAATGTAGCGTTTAATGATTAGGCATGTATGTAGCCGACCACCTTTCTTGCCCTCGTGTTTTGGTGAATTAGCATTAAGCAAAACGGTGTCTTGCTCTGACGATTATTGTCACCTAACAGACGAAAGCTCAGCAAGGATTCATCGGAGTCGCAGCGCGGTGCGCCGAGGAATTATTCGCACTAATCTACATTCATGCTACCTACAGCTTCAGGTGAGGCCAACTTACGAATCCCTTACACTCGTCTCTTAAACGAAATGAAGGGAACTCCAGCATCAACCAATTAAAAGATTCTTCGAAACCGTCTTTCTACATAAAAAAAATAATTTTTCCCTATTACACTTCATAAGGTTTGGACATTTATTTGGTAATATGCATAAAGAAATTAAATAATGAAATGCCTGCTTCAGTATGATTTAAACTGAAGAAATGGATTGTTACTTTAGTAAAATTTCCAGCGGTGCCGTCTGCTGAATAATACAGCAAGAATGTATATTTGTTTAAAATACCGCAATAAAGACGGCTCGTCTTAAGAAAGCATTGCAGCGGAGTGCGATTACGTAAGCTAAAATGTAACGATTCTTCTAGTACCAGCAAAAGAAAGCTATCAAAAACTTTTTTTCTGGATGCCACATAAACACTGAAAGGAGCCTAGACAAGGTAGTGTAGTATGAGCCAGACTCTAATAAATTGCTTAATGGCAAAATAAACTATCGATATTAGCCAATCCATGAGCGAAAAACTGATAGAATTCCCCTACATAGGAGATAAAGCAGATGGGCTACACTAAAAGTTGGTTTAGAAGTAAGAGATAATGAGGAACGAAGGGCCATATTCGAAATCATTGTATTTTTGCATTGCATATTAGGGACTAGCCACTAACTATACTAGTTAGTGAAGCTAGCCGCTTTTGCTAATATGCATAATTAAAATAAACGAGGTGTCCCAAAATTTCGCAGAAAAGACAATGATTACCAGACTACTTGTATTAAATCAAGTCGTAACCAATGTTAATAGAAATATTTAAAGATGTGAAGAATCTCCAACACATCTTAAACTGGATTTGAAAGAAGCTAAAAATGATTGAAGTGAATATATAACTCCGTTTAGGTTTCACTACTGGCGGTGCCTAGATAAATCCAAAATCAAATAGCCCTTTAATTAATTCATAAAATATCGGCTATCAGACTTTGAAATCGGCCAATTTTAAATTGCAAGATACAAACCAGGCCAGTATTGGAATTTCAATTTTGTTATCAAAAGGGGACGATGAATGGTTAATAAAAAATGTATAAAGGAATGATGTTAAATAATTAGCGTCAATTTTATTAGTAAATAAATAATTCCTCGTCTTAGCTATTTCATATATCACATGACATCTAGTTAGCTACCATGCACATGTTAATATCGTAAAAATATTCCAATTTGGGAAACGATTTTTGACAATTACTTTTTTACCTCAATTAGGATTTTATCTCGAAAAACGTTTCCTTCGGTGGGTTTAGAATGATAAAACTTGATAACTTGATGGCTTAGGAAGCCAATTTCTGGTGAGATAAACCCAATTATGTGCAAAGAAAAGTTATCATTTTATTGTTGAATTGTCTGTTAGTAAAGTCAAAATAGATCACCAACTTTAAAGTTGAGAAACGGAACGCCTATCACCTGAGTTGTTCAGATTAGCTAAGCAGTCATTATGAAGCTATAAAATGTCATATTTACTGTATTAGCCCATTTGCCCTTATTAAGCATGAAATGAAAACTTTAGTGGATATAAGAGATTATGGAAATAAGACATCGATTTTGTTCATCTGCACTATACAGTCTTAGATCAACACAGGGAAAATAACGAAATCTTCATAAAAATAAGGTGACAATAATTAAGTAGGCATAAATGTTATATGAGTAAGGCCATCGAATCTACTTTTACCAAATCTACACAGATAAGTATAAGATAAGAAATTGAAGAATTACTTGTATGGCTCGAGAAGAGTTTCCCGAAAGGCGACTTTTGGCTTCCCAAGAGTACAAGGAGTATTGTATTCACGTTCTAGACGCTGGGAGTAGATCTCTAGATGGAGCTCCCCCATTCCGGAGATAATTGATTGGCCACTCTCCGTGTCTTGCTTCCATTTGAAAGTGGGGTCCTCACGAACAAAACGAGCCAAACCCTTAGTGAAATTTTCCACGGAATGTCGATCCTTAGGCTCTATTGACATGGAAACCACCGGATCAGGGACGTGCATTGATTCCTAAAAAACCATTTGTATCAGGTTGGAAACCAATTGTAATTGTCGAAACTTCTGAAAATATATTATATAAAGGAAACTGATCTTTTCTAAGCCCCACAGGACGATTAGTCTTGCAAGAAGTAAAATATATACATTTATGAACAAACTAGCGAAAAATGATCTAGTCTAAACATGTGACAGTCTGCATTAGAATCACCTTCCGATTAAATAAATAATCTAACAACCTTTCAAATAACATAATAAGGAGTGAAAAATAGGCACTCTTGTCATCCGGGCAGCAAAAATTATATACATTCGTTTAGCTATATCCGAACTAAAATGTTCGAGATTAGAGAATGAATAGTCCGAAAAGAATTAAAGTTACAAAAAAATCAAATAATGCAAGAACCAAAGAAAACAAATAGTAATGAGGATAAAGGCCAATTAATTTGATAGCTGACATAAACCCAACTAGACATATTTAATCAAATTCAGAAAGGAATTGAGAGATAAATCAATAGTAAGATGTTTTTAAAGTAAGGAAACATGGTTGGAAGACTGGCAACTTGGGAACAGATACATGATGTGCCCATGATATACAAAGTGAAACTAACAGAAAAGAGATTTTAGATATCACTCTTAGATCAAATAATAGTGTATAAAAAGCAAAATGTCAGAGCTGAATAAATAAAGAAAACAGAATAAATACGTGATAAAACTTTCCGTAGAAATTATTTTTCTGGACATATTATTAATTAACATCTTTGATATTAAAGTGCATCCATATTAACTTAAGAAAGAAGAACTTGGTGGACAATTCTCGTCAGCTTGTATAAGGTAAGGCCTATTCATTACTTCAAACAATCGCAAAGGCATACCGCACTACTGTGGCGGTTCAAACATTAAGACAGCAGGTAGAATGAATATGCTAACAATTAATCCTCTAAAAAGTTTTGTGCGCTATAAGGGAAACGATATTTGATAGTATAACTATCAGATTAGATATCAGAAATGATTAGTGATTTACGAAATATGTTACTAGTCCACTCAAAGACCGAATCAATCCTGTGGAGAATTGCACTCAAAACGAAATAATTCGGCACTCATAAGGATAGAAAGTGATATATATTGATCGCAAATCGGGGTTGTGTGCGCCAACACATATCATCATGCTTATATTCATAAACAATAAGTCTTTAGACAATTCTTCAAGTAGTAAGCTGAATTTAGATGACGCTTTTGCGGGAAATAATTAACAGCACAAATCAGTCTTTACATAGCAAGATGATGTTTTTAAAAAAAGAAAGATGCTAGTTCTAAAATTTAAATAAATCTTTAAAATCATTGTTATGCGTTGTTTACCAATGGTCCAGAGGAAAGTTAAGGAATGCAAATGACT